TTCTCGAATCAAACACCCCAACGGTACCACCCCTTGTACGTGTTGATAATAATAGTCACCATCATTATGAATTTATAATAGTAGCCAACAATCCTTTAAATTTTGTGGTTATTACCCAAATTGACGGCTAGTATTCTTTCACACTGTGGCAATAATAGCCATCGAATTTGATCATGGGTATTAACCTCGATATTTTAAAATTTATTGACTATTATTGTCAATTCATAAAGACGGTCGATTTATTTTGCAATTAAACCATAGAAACAAATACTAGAAAATCTCCATTCAAAGATACGCCTATGCGGCTATGCCTATTCAGAAGTGTTGGTTCTTCTTCCTTCCCAACAGCAGCAGCGCAAGGAGGAATAATTGAGAAGCATGCCCCTCAATCTTTTGGCACGCGCCAAATCAAAGTTCAAATCCTTCATAAATTTGCGCTCAACTTCTTCTATCATCAAGGATGAGAGCAAGTTTCTGGTGGCGCAGCTTGAATCATCAGGGATGATAACGGACGAGGAAGTGTTGCATTACTCGATAATTTCGATGAAGGATAAATATCCTAAATTCGAAAAAGCTTTAAAATTTCCATTGGCTGCTAAGGAATATACCCTTCCCTCATCTACTTGCAATGGTTTGGTGCTGGTTTTTGTACGGGAAAGATATGGAAGGCCTACAAGGGAGGCTTTGTGGAACCCGACCACAAGTGAATTCAAAACCCTTCCTCCAGCACCCTCATCCTTTGACAACAGGTATTTGAAGATGTCCCAAGGTTATTTTGGTTTCGGGTTTGATTCGGCGTCCGAGGATTACAAGGTGATAAGATTGCTCAAGCGCAAGACTGAACATTGCTACGCACCCCAAGCTGTGATGGCCGAACTTTATTCGCTCACAACTGATTCCTGGAAACAATTCAGCCTCGTTCATCCTTGTATTCCACGGAACCCGGGTGTTCACGTAAACGGCACTTATTACTGGTTAACTCTCTTTTATCCCTGTTTTATCATGTCTTTTGACTTTGCTACTGAGAAGTTTGCTTCCTCTCTTATTCCTGCACCCCCGAGTGAGGAGCTCAATACTAGAAATGCATACCATGATAATATCAAGCTCGTGGAATATTGTGGGTTGCTCGGTGCTATGGTTATCTCGAGTTTGGACAGGTGGCCAAGTTCACTAGAAGCATTGCGTAGTTTGGAAATTTGGGTTTGGGATGGCTCGTGGTCCCTGGTGTCCACGCTCACCGTCCCTTATGCTGTGGATTTAAAGAGCCTCGTTGGGACTGAGAAATTGATTTATTTGGGCTTGAAGAAATTGATGCTTTTTGATTGTGCGACAAGCAAGTTGGAGGAGGTACACTGTCTGCCTAATAAAAACTTCTATGGAGGCGCTCTACATTTTACCTTTTGTCGAGAGCAATGTTCCGCTCGGCTGTTGAATAAGTATGTTCCGCTCAACTCAGTTTGCTCTATTTATGTATCCTGTTGGTTGGTTAGTCAGTCTGCTTTCTTTTGTATTTCAGGACTGTTCTTTTCTTTTACTGCAGCCAATCAATCATGTTATTCACTTATAATATCCACTATTTATTTGCGTATCTACCTAGTTTTCTGTTTGAAGATCGTATTTGTTTTTTGGTTTTTATATTTTAGATGTCATGTTTTGCTTTCATTTTACTGCTCATATCAAGCATAAAATCTTACAAAAATCATCCACAGTTCCCCACACACACACATACACACAAAAAAAAAATTCGTACCAATATACAAAAACCAGAAGCATGATCACTTCTTCCTTTTTCACTTGAATAATGCAGTCATCTCAAATCAAACACCCCGACGGTACCATCACCTTTTTCACTTGAATTCAGCCATCTCAATCGCCCAAGCGGTACCATCTCTAAAAACAGATACTAGAAAATCTCCATTCAAAGATACAACTACAGTCCTATAAACTGAATGGCGCCCGATTATTATTTTGGCAGTCTCCCGATAGATTGTCCCACACTTGTACTTTCCCGTCAAGAGATATTACCTTCAAACAGCGAGCCGGTATGAGAGCCAGTATTTGGGGATTCGTATCCATAAACTGTTGAGAAGCATCACTTGTAACAACGTACAAGAAAAGAAAATAAACAAATAAATCAAAAAGAGAGCCAACACCTCATGGTTGGTCAATGGTCACATATGCAACAAGGTGAAGAATGCGATCCCATATGATAATCGATGCCCTCCAACTGTCACGTCGAGCACTAAAACAATTTCTACATGAAATACAGAGTCAATAGTGTTAGGAATCTTAACAAAAAAATGAGTTAATTTGGGAAAGAATACACCATAGATATTTTGAAGTTTGATAACCAACCTGATTTGTTGAAATTAACCGACCTGATTTGTTGGAATTAAGGTAAAGATTAATGATCGTTATACAAGATCGTCGCTCAAACTCGCTCGTATGTCCAACTTAACTAAACTCGTTATAAGCCAAGCATCAAACCGACTTTATGCATAATATATGACCCAACTTCGGTTCAAGGGGACAACCGACTTCTCAAAGATCCATCAACGGCCGACTTCCTAAAGAACCTTCTCGAAGAATCTCCCCACAAACTGAGGTCCGAGATGACCGAAAACCGAATCAGGTGACGAGACACCCACACAGTTCGATCAGGTGCTATATTTGCAATCATTAAGTAAATAAAACAATTAATCAGTCATACCACGCCATTTTCTCATCATTACTGTCCCTCCATTGACCAACAGACCGCTTCAAAAAGTTGCCCATTAAATGCGATCGTATCTACCTCGTACCAGAAGTCAAACACACACTACTATAAATAGCAAAATTTATTATTGTAGGGGGATCTTTTTTACGCGCATTTAATAACATGCAAATAAGTTTGGTTTACACATATACGGACTTCATGTACTCAACAATCACTCATAAATAATACAAAGTCTCCACTTATTAGTTTTGACGCTTTAATTACATCGTGCTGTAGTTGTTAAATTCCAGCAACAACAATTTGATGCTAGAAGGAGGACCTCATAATCTATTTGATGTTAATCTTCGATTTCCTCGACACAAACCTCATACCTCTCGTCAAGTTTACGTTCTTTTTCATAAGCCAATCACTTATCATGTCTAATTCTAAACAGTAAGAACAAACCTCAAAAGTTGGGCATAGTCATGTTCCCGACGTGTTCGTGTGTGCTCATCCTGGTCATCCCTAATTCGCTAGATTCAGAAAATTTTAAACCTTAAATTTTCTATGTCAAACCTTTAAATCCGCTACGCATAAGTTTACGTTTGCTATTGAATTTGTGATTTGTAAATAACGAGATCCTCACAGATCCCAGCACAGTCGACCTTCTGTCCCGATCTCACAGCTCTAGATGTCTCCATTGCTTCTTGAACGGAGCTCCTTTTCCTCTTTATCCCTATGGACTTAGAGGATGAGGCTATCTCACGTACTGCAAGAATCATCTCCTGCTCTTCATGGATAATTCTTTCAGCCGCCTCAAATTCCCCAGTCAGCTCAGCCACTGACATTTTTCGAAGAATCATGTCAGAGATGTAGCAAAGCTGGTTCAGCCACTGACATTTTTCGAAGAATCATGTCAGAGTTGTAGCAAAGCTGGTTGAGGTCCTTATGCAGTGCAAAGAATATTATATCAACTTTGATGCTCTCATGAATGCGAGCACCACCAGATTTCATGCGGGCAAACTGTTCCATTAGCTTTTGGACGTGTTCCCTTACGGGAGTGTCTTTTGCCATGGTGATCGACATGACAATGTCTAAGTTCTTTTTTCAATAATAAATGAGAAGCATGTCAAATCAAAATTCAAATCCTTCATGAATTTGTATAAAACTCCTAACATCAAGGATGAAGAGCAAGTTTTTGGTGGCGCAGTCGATAGTTTCTAGAGCAACACGGGAAGTGGACAAGGGATCTTCACATTACTCGATAGTTTCGATCAAGGATGAACTTGCTCGAGTCGATAAACATCTTGAATATCCAATGGGCCAGGATAGTCACCTTCCCTTATCTACTTGCAATGGTTTGTTGCTGCTTTCGGTACCAGAATTAATTGAACACGTTACCACCCTCGAAACAAAGCATACTTGCAATCGAACTCTCCATGAGATCCATAGTTGCATTACTTATAGCTTCTTTAAGTTGTATGTGTTTTTATATTTTAAAATTGTAAATTAGATTATGATATCACATTTTATTGTTAATAAAATGAATAATATAAACAAAATTTAATCACATATAAATTATCGTATTGATTACAACAATGTATTTTTTGCAAATTGAGTGATTATAACTATTTAACAAAATGATGGAAAACTTGAAATTATTATTCTGATCATTGTGCGCGAATTTTAAGGAACTATTACAACGCACATGCATTACATGAGTGTTTGTTAAAAAATTATTCTTAAATTTTAAAATTAATGAGAAAATTATATTAAATTTATTTTACTTTTTTACAAAAAAAAAATATGTTATATATATTTTAGAATGATATGTGTTACTTATGACTTACATGTGTTATATTATATTATTTTTTATAACTTATATCATATAACTACTTGAAATATAAATATATTAGTTGATAAATAATTTAATTTTTCTAATTAATTAGAAATAATTATATTATTGTTATAAAGATAAATATGAATTATTTTTTTTATACATACAATATGGATGTTAAATCGAAGCTCATCAAAATAAGATTAATTTGATATATTACATATGTAAAACTGATAAAAAATACAAAAGTTATTAACTTTTAAAATATATGTACAATTCAATACATGTAACATGACTATAAGTAAATCAACATATTTATGGTAATTCGAACCTAATTATTTTTAGTTTGGAATTAAATTAAAATTTACTCAAGCCTAATAACGAAGCAAGTAATTTTGCCACGTAGAATTTCGAAGCACCAGAAGCAGCTACGTAGACTCAGCGCGTTCTGGATTAATATATAGGGGGATTTGATTATGCCATAAAAAATAACTTTATGTTGCCCGTGCAAACAAAAATGTCTAATAAGCTAAAGGTTAATAATTTTAAACAAATAGTTCGAAAAAAAGTTTTTCAATAGAACTTTTGATAGGTTTATGACTTTTATATATCATGTAATTTGATTTTATAATTAGTTAGTATTAGTTACAAGTAGTTCGGTTCGGTATCCAGGACTATTAGAATGGTTCGATTCAGATCATTTGAGATTTCTTATTTAAGATTACCTAGTTATATTTTAATTTTTATATGCTTTAAAAAAATCATTCACCAATACTTCAATATGATCATATTGAAGATTTTATTTTGAAACGAACTTTATAAGTAACTCTAAAGTTTGGTCGTTTAATTTTTACATGCTTTATTAAAACCAACATTCTTCAGTACGTCCTCATATTGAATATTTTATTTTAAAATCAGCTTTAAACTCTAAATTAGTTAAGACTAAATTTGTGTAACTAATGCTGGAAATTTAAAATTTAATTAAAATATAATATAGTTTTTTCTTAAATAATGTTATTTAACCATTTATATCATTTTTAATATTTTTTTATAATAGAAAAAAATCAGTTTTACATTAAGTATTAATAAACATGAAAGTGAAACTTAATTGTTATTGCTGTATTTTATTTGCATTTTAAAAATTCTCAAATTATATAGGAACAAAGTTAACATAAAATATACTTATTAATAACACACATCTAATAATATTATAATTCAGTTCTTAATTTTGGTTATTCGGTTCGATACGTTATGAGACAGTTCGAGTTTGTTATCGGTACGGATCTTTGTGAAATCTCCAGAACCGTACCAATTACTTTTTCGGTTCGATTCGTTTCCGAGAAAAGTCAAACAGTCAACGATTATAATAATTTCAGATTGGAATTCTGAGAGTCTAATAAATCACAAATTAGCAATTTATAAACACTAAAAAATTTATTGCTTCTCGTCTTCCCGCTCACTATGTGTTGTGTTTGGCATAACAGTCCGTAAAACCAAATCCAATAAAGCGTACAGATTTAAAATCCAAGAGGAATGTTGGTTTTAGGGTTTAAAATCGGCTCTGCCCTGCGCCTATGCGGGCTATGCCTATTCAGGAGTGTTTGTTGGTTCTTCTTCCTTCCCAGGCTCCCAGCGCAGCGCACAGAGGAGTTACAATAATAATAGAGAAGCATGTCCCTCAATCTTTTGGCCCACGCCAAATCAAAATTCAAGTCCTTCCTGAATTTGTGCTCAACTCCTATCATCAAGGATGTGAGCAAGTTTTTGGTGGCCCAGCTTGAAGCATCAGGGAAAGTGGCTGAGGGATTGTTACATTACTCGATAATTTCGACCAAGGAAAAATTTCCTATAAACTCGAAGAACTTTTGAAATATCCAATCCCCCAATATCCAGTCTCCAAGGATTATCACCATCCCTCATCTCTCGGATCCTTGGTTGATCGTGTCTTTCGACTTTGCTACTGAGAAATTTGCTTCCTCTGTTATTCCTGCGCCCCGAGTGACAAGCTCACTGGAGAAAATGCTTATTATGATAATATCAAGCTCGTGGAATATTGTGGGTCTCTCGGTGCTATGTTTATATCGAGTGAGAACTTGTGGCCAAGATCACTTATAGAAACGCGTATTTTGTAAATTTGGGTTTGGGATGGTTCGTGGTCCCTGGTGTCCACGCTAACCGTTCCTTGATTAGTGGGTTTCCGCAGTCTTGTTGGGACTGATAAACTAATTTTTTTGGGCTTTAATGGCAAATCGATGCTTTTTGATTGTGCGACCGGTTTGGCCCTAGGTTCGACCTGACCCTGCCTTAAATCGGCCGTGGTCAA